ACCTTGCTGCCTTTCAAATGTAAATCACTTTGTTATCATGCTAACTAGATACAGGTCTCTATCACAACAAGGTCATCTTTAGCCTCACTCTGAATCAAAGGCTTGGCAACTAAGTACACAACTGTAAAATGGCCTATTACGAGTGGCGCAGAGCAAAGAAATGTTAGCAACTTATTTTGAAAAGGTGAGGGAAAAATTTCAGAGATGTTACCGCGAGAAAAACCTCCATTAGAGAAGCCTCGTGTTAACAAATTTACTCGCCCTCATCGCAAAATATTCCTGCTGCTGACGGCCAAGTTATGTTCTCTTCAGAAATGCACAAGAGTCTAGCCTTCTACCATTGAACTAGATGCTACATCACTAGAAGATCCTTTACATATCCATTTCTTGATCTGTAGGTCGTGCATATGATTTTCATATATTCAGTCATTTACAAACCGAAGTGTTCGGCAACCAGCATACGTTTACATGCATATGAACACTAAGATGCTGAGATCCAAATCCCTAGAGAATTGCTGTGATTTTAAACTTGAAATATAACACAACAAACACAACAACAAGAAAATAAAAGATTTCTTACTGAAGAAATCCAGATTTTCTTTTAAGTTAATGTAAAAGTGTTAGAAAGCATCCATAGCATCTAAGTGTTCGTATTTGGGGCTATACTGGTTGGCGATCACTTCCGTTTGTACTGCAACAGTATAAAGTTAACGAAATTTATTAAACTTCAGCAATTTTAATATCATTCCAGAAAACATTAAGTCCAAATTTAAAAATGAGCTTATTGAAGTGATTAATTTTTATGCATGGGCAAGTTGGTCCAATTGGTTCAGTTAAGTGCCAATAAAATTAGTTAAGCAGATTTCAATTGTAAGCAACATGCGGATCATAAACCCACCATTCTCCATGTTGGGAATTAAACACTCTGACAGTGGGGTCAAGAAAAACCAAGATGGTGGACCTGACATACAAAGAGTGTGAGCTACAGACAAATTGAGTTTTATTTTATACATATTTTTAAACTTTTTTTGTCAAATTTTGCTTATTTTTTATGATTTTGAAATTTGGTGATGTTCCAGCATGTTGCAGTATACCTAGTTTTAGAACATCCCTGCATAACCCCCTTTCCCCTCAAGTAAGTGTTACCTGGGGTGTCTTACTCTGCCAGCAAATCAACTTGAGGGCTCTGTACTTGTTAGAAGTATGTGTTGTGTGCAGTATCTGGTTTTCTGGCAGAACTTTTGTATCTCTTGTTGGGCAATACTTGTCATGTGTAAAGCTTACTTAGCATGCATAGGGGACTTCATCTGAAGCTATGTATTACTCTTGTTCAAAGAAAAACATATATAAGGAATGACCAAATTATATTTTCATTAAAACACAGCAAAGAGTGTTTTATTGTTGATACGGGGGAGGGGCAACTAAATAATGTCTATAGACTCCCCTCAAAGTTAGCTAGTTTTTTAAAAAAATTATTTGCTTTTCGTGAGGGTATTCAGAAGCTATGGTCGCCTTCCATTGTTTCCCAAACAGTACTGGTTACTGCTTTGATAATAGCTTGACTCACTGATTTTTATACCTACAAATAAATGTTTTTTGTTTTGCAGATTATATGTACAGGAGCTTTTTGGTCCTCGTAAATGAAAACCACCAGAGCTATGTCAGAATGACCTGTGCAAACTTTTCGGGGGCCTTATGTCGACTCTCTCTTCCTAATCAGTTACTCCTTTTGGTGTTTGTTTATGGTGGGGAGATGAATAAGAAGGAAGAAATGGAAGAAGTGTTATCCAGAAAAAATGTTTGTTTTAGAGGGGGGGGTTCATCAGTTCAATTATTCTCCTCAGGAGACACTATATTAGTAGACATCAAGGGACTGGTCAAGTTCGATGAACCATCACAACAATGTGGTTTGAAAGTAAGGTTGGTTATTCAATTAATTGTAAAGAAGTGCTAGCCATTTCATAGGGCAAAAAGTTTGTGTGGTTTTGAGAGTAGATATTACTATGGCAACCTTTTGTGTCAAAATGATGATCATAAATTCTTGAGGAATGTTTGGGTAATATTATTTGAACTGATACATAGAGTGGAACTGATCAGAATCTCATATGAAAGGAATTTGTCAAGTATGGAATCTTTATAATTGAAAATATATCCCAAATTCCCCAATGGTGAATGACTCAAGCAGTGAATCTTTAAAATAGGGAAAGTTTAAGCAAGGGGGACTCTCTTTACATGTTTTAACTCTATAGCGGTGAATCTTTAGCGAGAACTCCTCTCTGAAGAATGGCCCTATTATGTGTTAATGCTTCAGAAAATGTTCCTGATGTTGGAAACCTGAGTTGATTCAATTTGATGAGACTTGCTACCAAAAGAGGTCAGCCATCAGTGGTGGGACATTCAAAAAGCTTGTTATAATTTATTTAGTCCTCTACTTTTTATTGAGGGGGTGAGAGGATCTGAATCATGAAAAGTCATTTTTAAGGGGTATGTTTAGCATTGCTTAAGCACAAACAATGTAAAACTCCCAACTAATTAATTTATGATGTGGTCCTATGACACTTTCTTTCAAGTTACATACAGAGATTTGCGGCAAAACATTTCACTTTGGAAAGTGAGACAGCACATCTTGAAGCCCATCATTTGAGCTGGTTTCTAATCTTGTCCTTTTGTTGCATTGGATGGATAAAAAATCTTTGCTGACCTTCTTTTTATTTATTTTGTTTATTGGTTGCTTTTGGTCAGATACCTGAAGGATCGACTTTTTCAAGACAGTAGTTTAATTGTCCGCAATGTTAAGGATCATACTCCTCAACTAGTGTTCAAACCGGAACAAAGTGCTGAAAGTTTGACCGTAGTAACTCTAGCCCCATTAATGGAAACTTTAGAGGTAAGTGAGTTGTTCTAAAAAACTAAACTCTATTCACCATTTGTTTTTTCCAATTCTTGTTCTTGCAAGAAACCCATTCCCCTTAAGGGTATGGTATTGCGAAGAATGTCATAAAGCCAATCCATTCTTTTTTGGAATAAGTTCCGAGTTCTTTTTTGACATAAGATAAGATGTTCTGTTAGGCAAGGGTGTAAGGTAAGTTTGTTTTGTAGTCCTTCAATAACTTCCTAGTAATTCTTTAGCAGGTCACTGCCACAGATGGCACTGCTTCAGTTGTGATGAAACAGGCGTGTTTCTTTTTAACTGTGAAAGTTTTTACTATAAACTGTAAGTTTGGAGTTTATAGTACTAAGCAAAAATCGAGCTTACAACTAATTATTCCACTGATTATTTTCAAAATGGAGGATATATATGGCCTAGGCTGCCACTTAAATATGTGAGTGTTTCAATTATGTCCTGTTTAACTTCTTCCTGCGGTGCACCCAGCTGCCACTGTGGCCAGCCTGGCACCCTAGATAGAGTGCCACTCCCCACATGGACCAGATTAGTAAAACGGAAAAGGGTAGAAGGTTGGGATGGGGAAAGGCTTGATAATGAAAACAACCACCAGAAACTGCTTGGTCAGCGGTGATTATGGCGGTAAGACGTGTTCCGAGCCTGTCCGTAATTTTATTAAGTTTTTCGCTGTTAGCTTTGTTCTCTGTCAACTTATACTCTCTCAAGCTCTCGAAGAATGCTCAAGTGTATTACGGGGATAAATTCTTCAAGTATTTCAACTCATACCTGGTCGATTTCAATCTAATTTCGCCAAGGCATATGTCAAGGATCGGCGGCCATTTTGTCACCTCACCTCACAAGAAGTTTCAGAAGTCAAGAGTGGCGTACTATTCAAACTGTACGGCTTCCTTCAACCCGGTTGCCCTTTCTGTGGTTAGAAGTGGAGACATTCATCCTCATCCAGGACCTCACAGACAATGTAACTCAAGAAACCCTGGTCCACCATTGGGAAAGAATACTCTTAAAATATCTTCCTTTAACGCAAG